GAGAGAGAGAGAGAGAGAGAGAGAGAGAGAAACAGGATGTTACGTTGTCAGATATAGTGTAGCGATATGCATGCCAACTGTCTTTCACTCGAAACACGCTATCGGATCTATTTTATTCAAACTTTTCCCCTAAAAATTGATATATCGAGCCATCCTCCCATTTCCAATATTTGCACACGACGATTCAAACATACTTTTTCATATCCTCGCACATTTGAGAACAAAATTTCAAATATATTGAAAAAAAAAAAAAAAAAAAAAGAATTTCACAAACTCATAAGATTTCCATTTTAATCAAATCTTACAACTTTTGACAAAGGTTATATTCACAAAATTCCGTAAAGAAGAATTTCCGGATATATTTTGATAAAAAATTTTAATTTTCATTCAGCGTTATTAATTAAAAAGATTACAAAATTTTCCCTCTTTCCAAAGAATCCACTTCTCCTTTCATTGTGTTGTTCCTCTCCTCCTCTCCCCCCTCCCCTCCCCATGCTCCTTTTCTTTTCATTCTTTTCGTTGAATACGAATCCCCTCAACTATGGAAAAGTAGTTTCGTCCTCGAGTGCTCGGGACTCGGAATAAAATTTTGTCAACCCGGTTGGTAAGGTTGTTCCCCGAATAGATTCTGCCGAAAGAGAACGTGACGGTGAGGTATTCGTTCGGCGTGAGAGAGAAGAGCCCTCGTAAGCCCGAGTTCTCGTGGAACTTTCTCGACTGGGAAGAGTGCAACGCGAATTGCGGCCCAGGCGAGCAGATTTCCAAGCCTCGTTGCCTGGAGAAACACGCGGGCATAGTGGATGACATTTTCTGCAAAAGCATGGCGAGGCCGCAGGAAAAAGTGAGACCCTGTTATCGGGCGCCCTGTGTCCCGAGGTTAGTACATCTTCTTTTCATTCAATCTTTTCATTGAAAAATAATCGAGGACCGTGAGATCTTTCTTTGTTAACAAGAAGTTCTTTGTAACTATGTGTCGCGATTCGTAAATTGAAATTAAATTATTATTGCAATAATTCTGATGCTGATCGTTTTCCTCTTTTTGTTTTTTGATGCAAAAATTTACGTATTCACGTTTAATTTAAAATCGAGTCTAAATTTTATTTACACGAATACAATAACTTGATAACCTCAAATTAAAAAATTTCATATTATAATAATATTGAATCACTGTACTATTGAAAGCGAATAGGTTATATTCGCGTTTAGGTTATATTCTAAAAATATTTCTTTACAATAATTTCGATTTACAAATATTTCTTTATAATAAAATAAAACGTATTTACCTTTTATTATTATGTGTTTTGTAAAATAAAATTTGAAAAGATAGAGGTTGAATAAAACTTATCATTATTTTTCGAGATTCTTACCAATACATTTAATGGATGAGCATCCGCATTTCTCTCCAATCGCTCGTCTATTCGCTTCGATCTATTCTCGAACGAGAAGACGATGCACCGATTCTAATTCTATCGAAATGACGTTGATTCCAGATGGATGATCGGTGATTGGCAAGGATGCACATCCTGCACGTTCCGTTGCGAGAACACGCGATCTGTCAAATGCGTACGCCCCGTCGGTCATTCCGAGCAGGATGCAGATATTATCGCTGACAGCTACTGCGTAGGGCCGAAGCCAAAGGAACGGGAGCCCTGTGCCGGCCGGGAGAAACGTAACAACAATGTTTCAACAGCACGCTCGAAGCGGTGGAAAAGTATATCTATTATTCCGTTCTATTCGTATCGATTCGATTCTTCGATCGATCGTGTGTTGGAAGAATCATTGTTTAATCTCGTCTAAAAAATATTTATGAAAAATGTTATTCTTTTTTTTTTGCAAAATTTTTTTATTTCGTAATTTTTTATTCGTATTTTTTTATTGACGATTACTTCTTAGTAGATATCCATTTATTAAGTGTTTTGTTATTATTGAAACAACGAAGATTCGGGCGGAAAGAAATTACGAATTAAAAGAATGCACGAAGAGGAAGACGACGACGACGACGACGATGACGACGACGAGGAAGACGAGGAAGAAGAAGAAGAAAGGGAAAGAGAAGAAGAAGAAGAGGAGGAGGAGGAGGAAAGAGAAGAAGAGGAGGAAGAAAAGAAAGAAGAGGAAAAAGAGAGCATTCCGAAGATAAAGAAGGGTGAAGAAGTGATCGACAGCAAGGATATTAATAATTTAACCTTAACCATCATTTTGGAACGTGATGTAACCGGCGCCTTGATCTTCCCCAAGGATTTCGTGCCTCAACCACCGCCCAACAGTACCACGTTTACTTTGGTTGGAATGGATGCAGTCAAGTATATTCAAAAAATTCAAGAAGAGGCCGTGATCGCCTCTAAACGTTCTTAACGAGTTAACCTAATTGAAAATCGATATATACATTATTCGCGTTACGATCGTGTGCCCAGAGATCTGTGTATTAATCGTTATAATTATGATTAATTTAATGTACGTGCATTATGTACATTACACGAAATGCATTAAATATCACGTTTCAATGCGAGAGTGGCCGTCTCTTTAAACGATTAAAACATTGTGACATTGATGGAAATGATGGAGCGTAGATGTTGTTGAATCTGCAATACCGACCGGACAGGCGTAAGATAATTTCGTAATAAATCGACTTGGCATTAAAATATTAATGCGTCGATTAAAAATACGATAGCACCGGGACAAACCGCCAGCACTGTCACTGTTTCGCATTTTATTTCATCGTTGCCGTTCAATTTGCCGTCAGATTACGCACGCTTGCCAGGAAATCGAATTATATTCGACGCGGATCGGGCTTTTATCCGATATCCAATTGAATTGAATTAAGTGTGCATACATTAAATATTGTTGAAATACAAAAGAGAGAGAGAGAGAAAACGACACGTATTTAATATATATAATTTAATTAGCTTATCTATATTTCTCGATACTTCTAAATACATACTCTTACAATACGATACTTTTAAACGCTCTCTTAAACGTTATTCGAATAAAGTATCATTATTATTATTATTATTATAATAATATCAAATAGTTATCGATATTAAGTTATTTAAACTGTACAAAGACAATGCACTTGGATTTATCTTGAATTAATTCGACGACGATAATATATCACGTTTTTCAAATTGGTTAAAGTTTCACAGTATCGGAGGGGAGGGGGAGGGGTAGAGGGAATAGAGGGGAGAGAAGAAAAAAATATTATTTCAATTTTCCAAACTTCGTTTCGTTCCAAACCTCGAATTAATTATAAATTCACGAATATAAATCCGAATATATTTAAATACCATATATCGATCTTCGAAAAATATTATATTATTATATCCTTTCTTTAAAACGAATATCTCCCATTAATTTTGATTCTCTGATCCAATTGCACGATTAACACGACCAACGATCGACCAATCAATTCCAAATATTCCAAAAAAATTCGCCCGTTACTATTCGAACCTAACCAATTCCCGAATCCTAATCCTACAAACCCGGTGCGCGACCACCCTGTGTCGAAGTCATCGAAATCAAAAAAAAAAAAACCGCTTTCTTTCTATTTCCCGCGATTTCTATTCGCGTTTCACGAACTCTACGAGTTGAGGCTGGAATTCTTCCACGGTTTGAAGTCGGGTGGCCGCGTTATACCCTCCATCTCCTCCATCACCTTGAACGCCT